ATCACGACTGCGTGAGGCTTGATTTGGTATACTGAACAACTCGCGGAAGCAGGAAACTAGTGAGACGTATTAATATACAGGTGTGCTCAAAGAATGCTCCTCTCGCTGGTTCTTCTCCTCTTGCAGCTTCCCGTGCCTGGATGGTTGAGCATGGTCCCAGAGCAATTGAGCATCATCCGGTGTGGTCAGCTAAACTCACCGAAGAAGAATTCAGAAGAAGTCTGTATAGGATATCTTGATTTCAGAACCAACCAGGTCACGTCCAAAGAATCCTACCAGGTCATGTTGGGGCGATTTCGTGGATCTCACGTCGATGGCCCACTTCTGAAGCCGCTGACAACCAGGGGAATCCCAAATCACCTTCCCGGCTGGATTCTTCGACCTGTCTAGGCCCCAGGCAACTGCTCGACCTTTGCGTGCATGTTGCTCAGCTCCTTCGCGGTGGGTTCCGTTTCTTCCAACAGCAGACTCGCGACGTGCTGGCTTTAACTTCATTACATAACCATGCACCAGCTCAAACCCAGCGAGATCGCCTTTGGGGGTGATTCGAGCGGTCTGCTTCCAGATTGAAACGAATGTCGACACTGCACAATACACAGCTAAAGTCAGCTCCAAGTTCCTTTGGTTTCAACAATGCCTTGTGGGGTTCATCTCTTAGGGGTTCTCTTCCCCACTAAAAACATGACGTGTGCCATGACGTCAAAGCGCCCCAGCATCTTCGCGCCTCCGCGTGCTTCTCAGCGGAAGCGCTGATCTTCCCTTCCACATACTCCAAGCGCTCCTTTTTGGAATGGTGAAAGTCACAGATGATCTCAGGCGCTTTTTTTCAAGAAAAATATCCTGAGTTTCGGTTGGCTCAGAATACTGTACGCCGCGGCTCCCTTTCGTGAATGTAGGCAGCAGCGCCTACCGTGCTTGCGGCCTTGTCCATGGTTTTGTGCCGGTGCGGCGTTCCCACAGACAGGACTTCCACCAGGGAGCCGTCCTGCAATCCAAGATGGCTCTGGAACTTGCTGGCACTTGCATCCAAATCCTTCGCGTGTTTGGCCTCCGAAGCAGGATGTTGACCGTACATCCAACAGTCGTTCGGATTTCACAAAGCTCTGCGCGATAAAGGGGCTAGCTGTGGTGAGCTTTGGCCTCTGCGGGATTACTGCATGTAGCAACGTGGTACACTGATCTCAGCACTCTTGCACAAGAAACCGTGCCACCTCATGGATTTCGATAGTCCCAAAATCCTTCAAAGTTCAATATCTCGGAATGAGTAAGGATCACCTCTAGAATGGATCCCAATGTCTGAGGCATCGGTCTTCATCGGTCTTGGGCCCAGGGCTTCTGGGCATCAACTCTAAATCGTCTTTTGCTCCTTTTGGGTTTTTCCCAGTCATAGCCGGAGCGAAAAGACAGAAAGACCCTGCGCCACGCCGCACAAAAAATCGACGCTCGTCTTCCGCGCCTTGAACTTTTCAAGCTCCTCGGTTGAGAACAGTGAAAACGGCGAGCCGTGCGAGATAGAGGCGATGCGATGCGACCCGATGTGGGCTCGGTGGAAACATGGTCCTTCACCTGGTCATTCACCTCAAGTTGACAAGAGAAACCACGTCTTTCTTTTCCTAGTGGCCATTCTGAGCTGCGAACATCAAGGCGGTTGACCCTACAGCCGTAGCTGCATTCTGGTCAGCTCCAGCCTCGAGCGAAACCGTGGCCATTGAAAGCTGCAAGCATCAAGGCGGTTACCCCGGCAGGAATGATGCTCCGGCATCGAGCAAAACCCGCACCACTTCCAAGTGGCCATTGTCAGCTGCCATGATCAAGGCG